GTACAAAACCTTGTCGAAACGTTGTACATTTCCTGTTATGTTAAAGTTTTTCTTCATTACCCATTAAAGCCGTCTCCAACCATTATACGTACATAAATCCCTTTTTAATAATTATTTTACACCATAATGCATTTTGAATCCTTCAATATCGTAATGCACTGAATTGGCTAGGAATATGTAGGTTGAACAAAAAGTCACAGACGTCTGTAGCGCCGTTAGTTGTCTCTGCATAAATGAAAATATGAATCATTTATTGTGATCAGAAAGTGAAATCACAGTGAGACGTTTGCTTCATCAGTATGGTGTAGATTGGAACGGTGATTACCCGTTTACATTGCAATGAAAAACAGGACCGTTCACTATTAAGTCAGTTTGAGTACGTTACTGTTGTGCTAAGGATGTTGTTTTCACAGTAGACCTGCAAGTAGATATAACGGCTCATGGAATATATGTTTATACTTAAATCGTACCGCCTGAACCTCCCTGATGGCATCCCTGTGAAAATTTTAATCGACTAATTTTAAAATTCCTGTCAATAAAATTGAATAAGAAATATAGTTTGTTTTTTTCTTTTTGTAAATAAATGTTTTTCCTACTTTACAGTGAATGTTGTTTGTTTTGTTTTAGTTCAAAGCTATACAATAACTTATCTGCTCTCTCCATCCATCCCTGAGAAGTTAACCCCCGAATCTTAGCTTTATGAGTAAAGATACCGCTGACACACTGAGGGACAACAGAACAACCTTGTTTTACGGACTATGACGTTAAAATACTGAAGTACGTCAGTGGATTTTCTCTAAAATACATTGATGTTCTTATATATGGTTTGTCAAGTGTCAGAAAAATTGATGGTGAGCTAAAGAGCAATAACAAAATATTTGACGAAATAGAAGATAATAATTTTGTATTTATTTCAAGGAGAAGAAAAAACGAAAAAACTGAGGCGGAGTTAAAATAAAGATCACTACTAGTTTTTCGAAACATTATGTTGTTATTATTAATAATTTCTGATAAAAAGATAAGCTAACTATGTAAATCGGAACTATAAAGAAACTTGGAGAATAATTAAACTAATACTATATAAAAAAAACTACAAGAAGTACACATTACTTTAAATCATTACCAAAAAAATACTAAAACCTATAATTATCAGAATGTATTGAACCGTCTAATTAGTTTTATTAATTAAATTGCTTGCCATGTAATTTACTATTATTAATTTTTGCATTTTCGAAGAAACAAGTTCGATGACGTTCTGCCTTATTTTGATATGCAACTTTTCCATTAGTGTAACGTGTGTACGAAATTAAAATATTAAGTGATATGAGTAATGTTGATATAGACTTTGTTTTAAAACTAATTTGATGTTTTTTCAATATGTTTGTTTCATGAATCTTAGAGTTCCGATGTTAAGTTTCCGAAACAATAATAATAACTTAAAAAGTATCAATAAACTGTAAACAACTTTATATGTAAAAACAGACATTCGTTCTAGCTCCTGGTATTGTTCGTGTAACAGTTGTAATGTATGAAGTCATCTTTTATATCGCAAATAAAATGAGCTGATTCCCCACGTATGAGATGGGAATGGCAAAACGACTGGGGATCGGAAGTTCTATAGTTTGAAATGTGATACGCCAGTGAACACGCTTAGCTTTGCTAGCTGTGGGTGTGTTATAAAAGTTGCAGTCAATTCCGGTATCCAATTAAAATTTGCTATATAGGCAGCTGGTGCTGCTGACTGTTTACCCTCACTCTGATCAGCAGCTCTAATTTAAGGACGGATATGCTTGAACCTTATGGTCTCTGAATTGGCCGTTTTGCCTATGTGTCAAATACAATGCCATTTTTGGCTGCGACTCTATAAAAAATAGCAATAGAATTTGTTAACTTCCTCCTCTCTTAAGTCATGACCATAACTTCTTTTCCAGGTTACCCTCTTACCAAGCTACAAAAGTCTATCCTTTACTTAAGTATATTTGACTATGACCGATTTAGTCGTGATGATCCGATTGGTGATGTTTATCTTCCGCTTACTGACGTGGACTTTTCCGAAAAACCTTGCTACTGGAAATGCATTAGGCCAGCTGAAGACTCGAAGGTGTGTATCTAAACAAATTGATGTAGTTTCTAACCGTTTATAATTTATCACCCAAAACATAACCCAATTAATATCAAACTAGAAGATAATTGGAATGCAATTTTTTTACTTATATTGAATTTTATTATACAATATTATAGTCTTACCCAAAATGTTTCTGTACTGTTCTATATATTGATGTTATTGTCTATATGCATGGAGTAGTTATTGAGTAGTAACAGAGAAGGTAACATATGATCGGACAAACATGTATGAGTTGTTATTCTGGTCTGTATAGGTTATTTTGAGCATTTATTCGTCAAAACACAGATGCACACCTGTTTTGTATAAAAGGTTGTGATTTTGGTATACTAATATTTTTCGAAAAAGATCAACACTTTGTTCAGTCATCTTTCGTCACCTGCCTGAAGTTATAGGGCGTCAAATTGTTCGACTGTCCAGAAATGGTAAGAAGCAAACCTGACATTGCCAGAACAGACGAGTACCCCCAGTATACTGTATCCAGAATCCTTGAAACTTGTTCCAGAAAAGACTACTGATAGACGCCGAAAAACTATTGCCCGAGATCATAGTGTTTTGATGAGGTTAACAAGTCAAGGTCGAAAGAAGTCTTACAATACCTTACGACAAGAATGGCATGAACACATTCATTCCAGGATATCCAGAAGAACAATGAATAGGAAAACTGGACAAACAAGGTTATTTTGCAAAAAGGGCTATTGGCAAATCAATATTAACCAGAATTCACCGTAGTCACCGTTATACTTGGGTAAGACAGCATGCCAACTTGCAGTTAAGACACTGGCGACATGTCATCTTTTCAGATGAGTCCTGTTTCCTTTCCGGCTTCTTAAAGCTGGTAGTAGGATTCGTGTTCGTCGTTTGCCTGGAAAACAGATGAAGAAACATACAGGAGGTGGTGAAGTACATGTTTGTGCAGCTATTCATCGTGGTGGAAAAGCTGCTCTTCATATTCTCCAGGGAAACGTCAATGATGCCTTTTACAGGCATCACATGGAGACGATATTTCTGCATTGTGCTTGTGCAAGGATTGGCAATAACTTTCCAGGATGACAATGCCACTGCCTACAGAGCACATATTGTACACGATTATCTCGATCAGGAGGACGTTACAAGATTTCCATGGCCAGCAAAGTCTTAAGATTGTAGCTGAGTTGCAGTACCTTCTAGTGACAAATTGGGATGAACTCACGGTGAATTACATCAATAACCTCATCAACAGCATGCCATGTCGTCTTACGCAGGTTATAATAGTACGAGGAGGACCAACCTAGATGTTTAATATGAACTGATATAAGGTTACAGACGCTATTTATAATAATTTAATGTTATATTTTGTCATTATATATGTTTTGATAAGGTTTTCTTGTGATAGGTGAAATGCTGAATTATACGTATTTCTACAGATGTCTGATAAAATTGTTTAATAAATCGTTCATGATGTCCTTAGAATCTGTATCATTATACAAGTTACATATGTTTAATATAACAGGCATTTCTCAGTTTGACAGTGCTAAGTGTATTTGTATTCCATCTTAATAATAATGATCTTATTTGTTACAAAATATGCAAGCATTTTGGCCAAGACTGTATTATTTGTTTGGTTGCAGTTTTGGTCTTGAGAAAACTCGTAAACTACTTTGACAAAGAAAATTATACGATCACTAATGTTGCATTGAATTTTCCAAGCTGAACCAAATTGCGCACATTTACCAATAATCTTGTAAATATCTCTTGTATGTCACAGGGAACGTTGAGCATTAAAGCTTCTAAAAACAGTTAAACAATTACTAACTTATTCAACTATCTACATCCCCAAAACGCATAAAACTTCAAGGCATAATTTCAAATCATATCTCACAATGCATCATGTGGTTAATACATACCTCCTCTTTACGTCTGTGGTTTTAAAGGAGTTCCAGAGGGGGGAGGGGTTATAAAATTTTGTGTTTTTACGAAAATCATTAGAAAGCTATAAAGTGGATTTGTAATTTCTAAAAATAACTCATATAAGCACTGAAATCCCTTTTGAAATGCCAAGAACAAAATCCAAATTAAACTATACTTCGACAGAGCAATTCAAGTTTTTCTTAACGTAAGGATAATCTGATGGTGATAATAGCCATCTATTTCGAACCTTAGTGTAGGTAGAAATGTATCCATCTCATTAATTTACTTAGTTTCTGATGCTATATAAATTATAATTAATGTCTATCTAAAGGATTTAATCTTTGTAACTTAATTAAACAAGTGCGGAAGAAACTGTCATGGGCATCATTTATCCAGATTTTATCTTAATTGGAGCGAATATTACAAAACTGTTTGTACTGTTAAGTATGGTACAGCAGTTTGCCTTTACAGTATATGTTTTTCATAATGGGAGGTAAATGAAGATGACGTTTATAATTTTTGGGTCTTTCTGTTTCCAGCTCGGTGAAATACTGGTAACTTTGTTATACATACCTCGTACTGGTGAATTATCCATAACCCTGGTTAAAGCCAGGAACTTGAAAGCTAAGGACATTACAGGATATTCAGGTAGGTGATAGTGTTAAAATTTTTTTATTGGAGAGTCGAAAGGCAGTTTATTTAGCAATGCAGACTAACCAGCTTATTTAGGAGTTCAAACATCACTAGCTTATTTAGTAGTTCGTACATCACTAGCTTATTTAGTAGTTCGTACATCACTAGCTTATTCATTAGTGCAGACATATTTAACTTATTTAGCAGTACAGACATATCCAACTTATTTAGCAGTACAAACCTAACCAACATATTTCGCAGTACAGACATATCCAACTTATTTAGCAGTACAAACCTAACCAGCATATTTCGCAGTTCAGACATTATTATCTTATTTAGCAGTACAGATATGTCTATTTATTTGTAACTTGTTTGTTTTGCATTTCAGACGTCACTAGCTTACTTAGTACTTTTGACATCACTAGCTTGTTTAGCAGTTCAGACATAACCAGCTTATTTAGCAGTACAGATATAACGAGCTTACGTAGCTTTAGATACATAATCACCTTATTTAACAGTTCAGACATCTCTTGCTTATTTGACAGTAGAGACACAACCAGCTACTTAGCAACCCAGATATCACCAGTCTACCTATCAGTTAAGACAAAACCAGCTCGCTTAGCAATTCAGATTAATCAGCTTACTTATCAATGCATAAATCACTAACTTATTTAGCACAACCAGGTTACTTAGCAGTCCACATATTACCAGCTTACCTATCATTTCGAAGACAACCAGTTTGCTAAGCATTTCAGAAATAACCAGGTTTTAGCAGTTCAATTATAACCAGCTTACTTAGCAGTGCAGGCTTTACTAGTCTATTTAGTAGTAGAAACACAACCAGCTTACTTAGCAGTGCAGGCATTACTAGCCTATTTAGTAGTAGAAACACAACCAGCTTACTTAGCAGTGCAGCATTACTAGCCTATTTAGTAGTAGAAACACAACCAGCTTACTTCGCAGTGCAAGCATTACTAACATATTTAGTAGTAGAAACACAACCAGCTTACTTCGCAGTGCAGTCATTACTAGTCTATTTAGTAGTAGAAACACAACCAGCTTACTTAGCATTGCAGGCATTTCTAGCCTATTTAGTAGTAGAAACACAACCAGCTTACTTCGCAGTGCAAG